TTGGACATTTTTGAAAATTCTAGCCTTTCTATTATTCTATTCTCTTTGATGACTGCTCTCTTGTACGTATTGTGGTTTGTTAATAAATAGACATACAAATACTTTAATTACCAATTATTTCGTACAATACGATAGACATTGCGTAGAATTACGTGTACTTTTCCTAGACCTAACTCGCCATGACTTCCAGTCATTTTACAAGATTCTTTTTCATTTTCTTCTTCTTTTCTAATGTTTCTTCCCTATTCAAAGACTTCCACTTTAGTTTCGATGTTTTGGTTTCTGCAAACGAGTAAAAATGAATTATTAATAAACGTTTGAATGGAAAAAAGAACGCTGTTTATCTCAAGCTGAATACAAAAACACATACAGAATACATAAGCCTTTTATACAAGCTTCAAGGGCTTCGCACTGTCCTTTGCAATTGGATCTCGGATTTCTTGAGTGAACGTTCGATTCGAGTGGTCTAAGATGGCTACTCTTCCAAACATCGGGTGATAGATGCCGAGTTCCTCAGGGTTCCGTATTGTCCGCAACTCTCTTTTTCCTGCATAACAATAATATGTTAATTCCAGGTGCCTTTGGGTATGCTGATGACAGCACAGTTGTGTACAGGTACTTGACCAATGCAAGGGTCAGTGGAGAAGAAATCCAGTCTTGTCGAGAGTCCATGGTTAGTCGTTAGAATTTGACACATATGGCAGTCTCCGATTGGGGCGATGCCAATCTTGTCAATTAACGCTACCGAAACGCAGGCGTGTCTATTCTCCACAAACCGGAGTCCGTTTGACCTGACACCGACATTTCCCTTTCAGGTGAAATGGAGGTTAAATGAGCACTTATTTTTGTAAAAAAAGAAAAAAGTTTGAAAGAGTAAAATTTACAAAAAAAAATTTGTCGTTTTTCTTAAATTATACTTCTACTATGTATTTACCTACAGTCAATTAAAAATCAATTAATGAAAATTTTAACAAAAAAATTTCTAAAAGCTCTACACAAAACCAGGCAAGTGATACACTGGGAAGTGACATTAATTTATTCCTCGAAACCACGAACATACAGCGGCTTATTATTACATGATTGAAATGAGCCTCCTCGAATCGGTGTTTTAATTATGTCCTCTGTGCGTCTGGCACATCCTGCGCAACAATTGGCAAGTACGTTATGCCGATCCAAATCCTTTCATCACGATGGCACACACACTTCATGGTGACTACTTACTAGTGACGCGGGTAGCGGCAATAACTTCTGGGTCACGATAATATATAATAATGAGGAGAAGAAGACGAAATGAAACATGTAATAATGGAAATAACACTATTTTTCGGATGTACATCGAAAAACGTATATTTGCTTTTTCATACAAACCAACGTTTCGGGACCTTTACGCGCCTCATGGTCACGTCTGACGCAGCTCAGTCAGCCGTGAAAAAACAAATATATGCGATTTAGATCCGAAAAATTAGTTTTATTTCCTATGTGTAACAATCGCGAAAATCTAAGAATTTGATATGTAATAATGTTTGAGTAAATAGCAACAGCCGATAATAGCGAGTTGGCCCCAGCCTGTGCGCTATTAAGCTAACTTTAGTCCGTGTTTTTAATCCTAGCTACTATAACGCTTGTCAATATTTAATTTTCAGGCGATTTCAACGTATATATACGTTGCAGTATATAACGGATAGCAACGTATATAACGGATAGCAGCGCAATGATACAGGAATAGATTCCCCTCTATTCAGAAAGGAAAAAGTGATGGAAATTCAGAATTACTAAATAATTATCTATACTAACTAAATTATCAATAAATTAATCGTTACTTCCAAATTAGTGGCATTTTTGACTATTGAACTTATCATCAATTTTTTGATAACTCATTGACAAATTTTGCAATCTGTAAATTCGCCTCACAAGGAAGTGAGAATTTTCACCATTAGAAGGCATTCTTATTTAAGTGTTGATTTTAAAGCATATTGATTTTCAGTGTGTAGACTCAAATAAATGAGATCTCTATTGAAGATAAACAATAATAGATCGTCATTGAAAAATTAAGAAGTTCAACCCACAAAAATTCCCTCATTAGTAGAATTACTCGAAAACCAATAAGGTATGAGAATAAGCCCACTTAAATAGAAAGAGAAACATAACGTAACAAATATAATATAAACAACAGTTCCACACATTTTAGTTAAAATTTGTTTCTTGACTCGAGAAACACCCTGTTATTCATTTTTGTTGTAAAGATATAATTTCTGAGTAGCCAAACGTCCACCTCATATTTTATCGTTATTGATAAGCGATTATCAAGACGTCATTGTTGTATTATCGAATTGTGAATTTGTAAACTCGAACGGCTGCAAGAATTTACTTTGTTTGCTTGGAAAAATACGGCTTATTAGTCGTTTTAGACGTGTCGTATATTGCGTTATTAATTAAAAACCTCCAGAGTGCGCTCTATTTGATTTAACTTCAGAGTACAGCGAATTATGTAACTTATTCGTGAGCCGAAAGCTCCGAAGTTTGGTGTGCAAGAGGTTGTTGCCGGCGTTTCAAGGGCGCAGCAGCCTCTGCCAATCGGAATCGGTTCGTCTGACGAGTCTGTACTGGCATTATTTCGCCCGCCGCCACCGCTGCCGGTACCTCGCAGTTGGCCTCGAACAAATAGTATAAACAGTTCTTCTCGCGATGATCGACACCCACCACCTGCTGATATTTTAGAGAATTCATGCAAGTTTTACAAAAACAATGTGGAAGCTTAGTGTGTTGTGTTTTGTAATAAGTTCACTTATAAATTTGCAAAGTACTGTGGCCGAAGACCAAGGTGGTTTCAGAAAGTGTTGCGCCCCTAGTGAAAGTCTTGTAAAGATTACAGATTTTAGTTTTGAATGTATCGACCGTGAGAGTGCTAAACAAACATATAATATTACTAACAATGACTTTTCACAAATAATTATTTCTGATAATATATCTATAAATTACGGATTTCCAGAAAATTGTACATGGCAAATGGCTCAAACTAACGAAGTAGAATTGACACCAATGTCTGACGATGCCAGCTATTCCAAATGCAATGACAAAATAATCTTAGAAATTAACGGATCTCAAATAGAAACCATTTCCAAAATAGTGACTCTGACATGTAACATACAAAATAATTCTCTAACATTAGAGCCAGAAGTTACTCAAGTTAACGTTGATATCTTGCGAAAGTGTTGTCCATCAGAAGAAGTGTACGATTCTGAATATCACGTCTGTAGACCTACGAAAGAAGAAAGTACAGCAGAGTGGTTGTTATCACAATTAACTTTAAATAGCGATAGTTATATTTACAATGTAGAGACTGGACTAAATTGTAAAAGTTCAGAATATTCAGTGGAGTTGTCGGTTAAGCACTTTTCAATGCAACTAGAAGGAAGTGTTCTAAAAGTCTTCAAAGACCATGACATAAAGGTGGCACGTGGAGATTGGTGTGTAGACCGCGACTACACTGGAGGCAACATGATAGCGCGCGTTTGCACACAAAATTGCGCTCAGTACGGAGCTTACTGTTTCCGTAAATGTTGTCCTTTGGGAGAACACTACCAACCCTTCGGATGTAATACTTCAAGAAGCAAGTGTCGCAAAAGCAGTAGTGCGGATGTCTTTCTCAATATGTCCATCTATTTTGACCCACTGGAAGCTCGTGACGCTAATTTACTAGGTGAGTTTTAGGTCTTTAATTAACAGCTCTTTAATAATGACAATTATGTAGATTTTGATAAATAAGGTATTCATTTCTTTCTGCTCTTTAGATACTCAAGGCATCAGAACAGGCTTGATTTGCGAATTCCAGAAGTTTGTTATAAACCGAACATTGCCAAGTGAACAACACTCGCTGGGGACCGATGGGCTCCTCAATGGGACGCCTTGGGATCCTCATAATTACTGCGTTGAAATGTTCGACTATCGTTTTTGCGGGGCCGGGGTCACAGTAATGACTCTTGCTTGTTTTATTCCTGAAGTTACAGTGTATAAGAATTATGCGTTATCTGCAGTGGTAAGATGGTCATGCTTTTATTATTACTAAGACCATGGACCAATAACTCATTGCGCTGAGTTATTAGTCCATGCTAAGATGAAGATATTTATTTATCTATGTTTCTCATTAAATTATTGACCGTTTTAATATTTTAAAATATTTTTAGATTTTGTTTTAATTTTTTAACCTTCACGCAAAGTGAAAAACAAGTTACTAAATTTCTTAAAAGTAATTTAGGTCTCCACTTATTTAAAGACTACGTAAAATTTTCATTTTTATTATCAATTTCAATCAATGTAAAACTCAAGTTGCAGTTTCGTTAAGTTGAACAATTGTGTGCAATTGATTTTACACATTGTGTAATATTTCTGGTCTTGCAAAAGTATTTTCATAATTTTGTAAGACCAAAAGCTGATGAATTCTCGGCGCATTACGTAAATAACATCATTATTAGTATCGATACTTCTCAGTTTACGAAACGATGTATCACTTCAAAGGACGGAATAAAAACTATGATTTTGTAAAAATAGAATGTTTACAAAAAATATTAGTAATTCAATATTGTAAGTATGTACCCTAAGTTTGTTTATCAAAACTATTGATAGACGTATTGCATATCTCTTCTGAGTATCATTAATTTCAACTAGTGATCAGGGTTTTCAACACTTTCGTCTGAGTATTTTTCGAAATATACTTGAAATCGTTACATCAAATGTTTCATACAAAAAATAGAAAAATAATTTTCGTTCTTTATACAATTGTAGTAAAGTTCTAAAGTTCTGAATAATAACAAAACTCAGAAACGTACCATTGGTATAATAAAGCCACATATCATCTTATGTCACAAGTGCTTTTATCACATGAAACTCATAAAATTAATAACTCATAAAAAGGCTACTTAAACATTAAAAATATATCGACTAAATTCGTTCGTAGAACCTTTAGGCCTTTCTCCAGAAAAGCCGTCATTTGGCAGATGTGGCTATCTGCCAAATGACACCTTTTCTGGGGAATCAATGTAAAACTCAAGTCGCCGATTCGTTAAGTTAAATAATTGTTTGCTATTTATTTTATATATTGTGTAATATTTTTGGTCTTGCAAAAGTATTTCCATAAATTTGTTAGACCAAAAGCTGATGAATCCTCGACGCATTACGTTACCTAAATAACATCGCTTATGAAACGATGTATCACTGCAAATAAATATTTAAACATAAAAAGATATCGACTAAATTCGTTCGTAGAACTTTTAGACCTCTCTCCAGATTTGGCATATGTGGCTTTCTTACATCAAAAAATGCGAAATTAAAAACTAAATCTTTTATGAACAGAACGCACTAGCATCATGAATCCCAAAAGAAAAACATTAAATGAAAAGAAAATCAGATATCTAATGCCATTCACAACGATTTTTGTGTCAGAAAAGTTCAAGACATTTTTGTAAATATGTCTTTCACGAGATATTCCATAGGAAAATTTAATTTATTTTTATATTTTTATGTTAGTCAAATACGATATCGGCGGTGTTCCTGGCGCTGACCCTGATAGTATACCTATCGCTACCAGAACTTCGTAATCTTCACGGTCGGACAGTAATATGCCATTCAGTCACCATGTTACTCGCGTATTCCTGCCTGGCTCGGGTACAGTTTATCGACGTTAAGGACGACACGCTTTGTATTTTCTTGGGTAAGATTCATTTATTTACGCTCTGGTGTCTAAAGCCACGTTATTGAAATTTTACTTATTAAAATTAATTGAATTGTGTAAATTTACATTATAAGCTTATAATTCGTATTTTAAGTAACATTCTGTAGGTGTTTCGCAAATAGAAGGATAAACATTCTTTAAAAATTTAAAGTCAGGCAGACGGAATCAGATTATCGAATACGATAGACTGCCACAACCAAGAGTACATTATAATACGGGGGTCATAAATAAGTCAGACGTGTTATACAATATTTACTTTTATAATTTCCCAATAATATACGTAACACTTATTTTTTCCTTTTATTTCGGTTTGTTGTGACTTGACGGACGCGATAATTTTGTGTACAATGTAATCTTTTATGCATTGTGCAATTTCTTCAAGTTTTATTACATAATGACTTAAAGAATCAATTGTTATATAAACAATTGGGAAAACTAAGACACCATAGTATACTTTTTATGACCTATTGAATACGTTCACATTTACAGTATACTTAGTGTAGTGGATATAACATTGACAGAGGATGACATCATTTGCGTCCGTCATTAAGTATACAATTAATGTGTATTTTTGTAATCAATCCATGCGCTGACAAAAACCATTGGTCTGTCGTGGGCAGGCTTAATAAAACAATGTTTACATGATCCTATTATGATCTCTCTTGGGTCAAAAAATACTCTACAATGAAGTCGTCCAATTGGACGGATATACACTACGAGTATATATCCACCAAAATGTATTCGATTTTGTTTTCCAATTTCCGCATGAATGCGTCCAAACGTTACTATAATATACTTATTTTTTTATAATACCAAGTGATAGGATGAACAATTCATGCGCCTGGTGTTAAGGGACACGCCTGTCTATTGCAATTGCAGTACCACCCAAAGCTTTAAATCGCAAACATCTGAGGGACACTGCAACTGCGCCTGTCACATAGACATACGTTGACAAGTCCTATGTACCTGTAAATTTACAACTATTAATAATAACATTAGGGTCAGATTACAACATCCGATGTTGTAAGATATACTAGTATGTTTTTGAAGTTACACTATCGAAAAGCAATGTTATAGTTGTTACATAACTATTTTTAAAAATTGTTTTAAATTTTAGATTGATTTCAGTTTTTCACAAGAAAAGAATTCACAACTAACTATCCTGTTAAATACTTGCTTGACCACGAGCTGTACATTATTATTGATCATGTGAATATAGTCCTTATCGCAATATTCGAAGGATATTCTTTGAATCACAATATTTTGTTTAGTTCGACCTCGAAAATGACTTTTATTTTGTAAAAAACCTGTCTGACTACCATTTTGATGACTCATCGAGTCCAAAGAAGTATTTAGAGCTATCGTTTATAATATAGTGATCTATATCAGCGTTAACAAGAGATGTATAGGTAGACAATATCGTTAATTTAAAACGAAATAGGTCTGTTTGGTTGACGTATTTATTCGGTTTGACCTAAAGATATCGAAATTATCAATAAAATCTTCCTAAAAATCACTTGGGTAGGTAGTTCATTTAGCAATGATTATTGTTTACTTTTTTAGTACCACATAGGCTTCAATATCTTTGAAATTTATATCTATAAAAAAATGTAAACTTTTACCCAAACATAAAGAACAAGAAAAACACGGTGAGCTTTACTTTTCCAAATAATTATTACGTTTGTTTTCTAGTGCTCCATGATTGTCAATATTATATAGTAACTATGGCGGATTCTTGCCCCGTAATAATCTTATAACTATTTATTTATTATTTACATTTTATTTATTTTTTTGTCTCCTCAACTTTCATTTCAAAATATTATTTTAATTAGCAGTAATTTCTAACGTTTGTTATATGCCATGTTCTTATTGGTTCATCTTCGCTTAGGGTACGGAATCTACTTTGGCTTCGTGGGCGCATTCGTATGGCTCAACGTCATGTGCTTCGACATCTGGTGGACATTTGGGTGAGTACTCAGCTTAAAAACACAAACAATACTGCCGACTCACTGCCATACAACTTAAACAGACAATGAATTACAGAAAAACCCACATTTATCGTCTAACAAATAGTTTTAGAGTATGTACGTGATAAAATAAGGTTTTTTTATTATGTAACAAACGTATACTTTGGGCTTTAAAAAAAGGATTATTAGGCTTAGAAATGTTAATATTTTCTTTTTATGATACCAAGAGACGGGACGAACAAGTCGTGTGCTTGGTGTTAATCGACATACCAATCCACAACAGTTGCAATGCCGCTCAGAGTTTTAAATCGCAAACATCTGAGGGACACTGTCACTGCGCCCGTCACCCAGAGACATAAGTCCTATGCGCCAGTAATTTCACCCTTCGAAACCGGAGCGCACTAATGCTCACATTACTGTTTGTAATGGGTAAGGTTGCAGTAAATCTCTGGACCAGCTCTTATACTACTAAAATCTTTAAAATACTACGTTTAAGGGAAAAACTTTTATTTTTATTATACTAGTAGTAAATTATCTATTATAATAAAAATAACAGTGGTAGTTAGCGTAGTGGTGGTGGGTACAGAACGGGTGCTTCTCAACTGAGAATTTCTGAATAACCTACGTGAAGGTTTTGTAGCAATACGTCCCTATAGTGGTGGTGGTGGTTCAACCCTTGAAAAATGTATGAAGTCCCCATCCGCAATCTTCTTACAGAAGACCAGTGTCCAATAATAGGACGTAAAACGGGTTGTTGACGATGGTAATCATACAGATATCTACAAATATCACATTGCAATATCCAGGCGACATGTTCCCTATAATAAAATGATATCAAATTAACACAGCAAATGTTAAAAGCCAAATCATGTTTTGTCATTATCCTTAATTGTAATAAAAAAAATTAGATAACCACGTTAACTTGTACTCTTACTAGGACACGTCATATCTATTTTGTGTAAATGCTCAAAATTAACGAGTAAATTTATTACTTGCATACTTGCGGTATGCAATATTCGAAAATGTGTATCGAGTACTTAGGAAACTCCTACGTAGGTATTTGTGAACGTTTGGCACGTTTGTTACAAACAGTGCAAAATATACATATCCACAATTAAAATACTTCAAAATGTAAGGGTGTAGTCAAACGAGTTACATTCCGACTGCATTGCGTAAAATAAACGCAGTAATATTTGAAATGTTGCGTGTGGTGTGTGGTGGTGCAATTAGAATTCATAGTATTTTATACACTTGAAAGATTATACAAATAAAGGCTTGGAATTATGTGTCATTTTGCTAAAATAAAAATGTACTTAAGTCATTCGTGACCATGGGACCTGAAAAGGCACCCAAACATTGGTTTGTTTGAAAAAAAAAAAACCACAAATATATGCGATATAGATTAGAGAAAAATAGTTTCATTTCCTATATTACGTAACAATAGCGACAACCTCACTACTCGACGCTACTTTCTTACTTCCTAGGATATTTTTTTTTATCATACAGTAATACGCTACAATAAAATTGTATAAATACATAAACTTATAATTTAGAATTACATTTCAAAATAAGAATTTACTTTAAAAAAAGGAGTTTTTATTATTTTTAGAGTAGGTAAGTAACATTATTATTGTATCCCTGTCTAGCTTTTATTAAAAAAAACTCGTAATTACAAATTCTTAACATATCTAAACTCTATAATATTTTTTTATAATCAAACAATACATTCAAGGTTTTAAATAAATTTGTGATGATCGTGGTCATCTGCTTTTTCAAGTGTGTAGGCATCATAAGCATCACTTCACATGTAAAACAAGAACCGGGAATGAGTAATGTTTTCCCTCGATTCAGCCGCTTACGGATTATTTGTTTATTTTCAACATCAGAGAATATAAAATATGCATTACAAATTTTTAGGTAAAATTTTCTTCATATTAAACTCCGTTATTGGGTGTAGTTTAAATCCTTGACCGGAAATAGCCAAGGTTTTTGTCTCGATCTTTGCAGTATTTATTTTCTGTAGCTATGTCAACACTAACTCTCCTAAGATTATAAGCTTCTTTATTATCGTTTGTACGACGATCATTTGCAGTTTATGGGAGCGCCTGTGTTGCTACAAGCTAAACTGTTTTTTACAAAAACATAAGTCACAACTTTCGTACATAGAGTTATATTGTTACGCACAGAATCATAGCCTAGTTAGTTTTCACCTTCTTTTGACATTACTTTAAAGAAGTAAGTTCATTATCTATACGAACTGTAATGTTCTACATCAACCTGTATATGTCACAATACTGGGCATTGATCTACTTTCACATGATAACTTACGAATAAAATGTTTTTTTTTGTGATTAAAAATGTCTAAGAAACCATGGCGGTTGTTTAAAACTATTGGTGAATTTAGTTAACATGTCGACCATGAGTTACCTACGCAGAGTGGGCTAATCCGTTGTAGCATTGGTCAATATTTGGTCATCATTGGTCAGTATCGTTTGCTAACTCACTTAATGGTTATTTATCTTTAGATTTATTTTTATATACGAAAATAGTTACTTAATATAGGTACGGATATCACTATTATAAAATGAGAAAAGAAATAATAATGCTATCTAAAAAATGAATTGTTGAAATATAGAGGTAATAAGTTGGTTACGGTAGGTATTTAATAAAATTATCACCACTCACTTTTAATTAGATAATAGAATTGTCTGACAAAATTACTTAATTGCAACCAGTCTCTGTTCATTCACAACCGTTATTAGTCAGGGAGTGTACCTTAATATATTTGTCTAACCTACAAACCTCCACCACCATCATGGCCGCCACCACCGCCACCTCTTCACCTGCATATGTGTCTGACGACAAGGTATATATACATTTCCAATCCAATATACGTCCAACTAAACTCATTTCTGTGTTAACGCCTATCAAGCGATGCCGTGTTAATATTGTTAGAAACGGATATAGACTATCCAGACTGCGTATACGAAATAAAATACACGATACGATGCGACGAAATATGTCACAGATTTCGAGTTACATTAGTTAGGCCAGGTTAACTTGGGTGATTAATTTCGTCCTGTGCGGGCAATTAATTTACATAACGACTGCGGTTACATATAGTTCCAATACACGAAACGTGATTATGATTGATGTTTATTAAAACCATAGCGTTATAAAAGTAGCTTTCCTTATCAGCTGTAAACAATACAGGCGTGCCACTAATTAATTCACATACGCGCACTTTTTGTCCCTCGGGATTTTTATTAGCGAGGCGCGTAAACGTAAACTCGTATAACGTCATAGCACGTGGTAGTAAGGAAAAAAAACTATTATTGAATAGTCTAACATTAGTGTGTGAGAAACGAGTTTTAATATTAGTTTGTGTATAATTGTAAAATATTTACATAATTGTAAATGTGTTTTAAAGTATATTTGTCTAAAACATTTACGTGGATAACGAATAACAGGTAATTCAAACGTATGGTAAATGTTACGTTTGCCTAGATCTGTTTATGAATTAGCACTTAATTGAAGGGTACTTAATTTAGTGATTTATCTTTGGCAAAATAATTAATTTAATTCAGTTTCGCGTTATCGCTATCTGGTATATTAGGGTGGAGGAGGTTTCGTGATTAGTCACACGTATTAAATAAACGCTATAAGCAAACAATAAAGGCAAATTGGTGCAATTGATGGATGTCGTCTAGAAACCATTAGCGGAGACCGTTATGACTTAGCCGATGTTTATGACTGGCCACGTGATGCATAAGGGCCAACGCAAACCAGAAGATAGCAAGGCAGAAGATATATTTAAATTTACCAATGCACAGATATACAGACCATTGAAATAAGGTATAAATTTTAATGCTCTGAAGTCAGAGAGAAATGCTCCGAGATTGGTCTCAGAGCATTGCAATTTAGACTTTATTTTGTTAATTGAAATAGCAAAAGAATATTTATTGATAAATTTACGGCCACAAGGGATCGTGGGATGTAAAACTATAGCTAAATGTGTGCAACTATGATGGTGAAAAGTGACTACAAATATCAAATCAAATAATAGCAATAGTAACTGATGAAATGAAACTGTTTTCTCGTTTATTTCAAACAAACCTACATTTCGGGCACTTTACAGGTCCCATGGTCACGTGACTGTCAGCCGTGACAGTTAGCCAGTCGTGACCATTGGACCTGTAAAGTTGTTTGAAAAAAATAAACGCGATTTAGATCCGAAAAACAAGTACTTTCATTTCCTACGTGTAATCATCGTGAAAACCTAAGAACAAATCATGCTAGCAGACAAGAATGGGGAATAAAATATTTTGTTTGTTACAGCAATATTCGCTCCGTACAACCCCTGCGTAAGGCAAATGTTGAGAGAAAACGTTTCATATGGTACTCTATATACGCTTGGGGAGCTACTTTGTTGTGCACAATCGTCGTATACCTTTTCGATAAGTACCCAGTGTCCGATCTCCTCAAGGCTAATATGGGCAAAGGCATTTGTTGGTTTGGAACGGGTAAGTAAACATACAATTTCCTTTGAGTTATCTGTATTTATCAAGTTGAAATGAGTTGTTCACATTTAGTCGTTCACCGTAAATATTATACATATGATTCAAAAATGTACTCAAAACGACTGCTTTAAAACTCTGGAAAATATTTTCTACTTTGTTTCGTACTTGTCATACAGTTTTAATTACACCTTGATTGTGTGTAGCCAATTTTGCATTACGTCAAGGTATTTGTACGGTGGCCTTATATCCTTCTCTGAGGGCTATTAGAGACTTTTCAAATAATTGAAAAATTGAAGCTAGATAGTAGTCTATGGACTTATTCCAATACTATCGGACCATTCATGGAAGAACGGCATAAGTGAAGTGAATGATAAACATTTTTGAATAAGAATGAATGCTCCATTATATCGACAATATTAGTCGTTAGAGTTAGAAGAATTGGAGAGGACGTGGGCTATATTTTTCTGTATCTAATGGAGCAATAACATTGTTGACGTAACTCTCCTTATGTCATTCTTCCATGAGGGGTGCGATATAATGTGTAGTTAGTACTGTTAATAAAGTTACTTTGGAACTTGTTTGCAGTTCAAAATTCAAGCACAGACTGGCCTCACTACATCTTTTTCGTGATCCCAATGGGCATATTGACCAGCATAAATCTGGTCCTGTGGGGGCTGACGGCACGGCACTGTGCCAGGGTCAAGTCTGAGGTCCATCGAATGCAAGCTGGATCAGTCGGAGACCGCGCTAAGAAACGTTTTAGGGTCGATAGAGCCAAGTAAGGATATTGATACTTTTGTTCTTTTTCCAATTATCTTGATTGGACAGTCGCCACACTTATCAACATGTGATCGCATTAAGCCGGTAAGCAAAATCTTTATACCGATGTTATTAGGGCGAAGAAGATGTTCTGCGTTTAAAGCGACACGCGTAACGTTTGTGTTTTGCGGTTATTGCATTATTATTTTAGTGGTATCCATAGGTTGTAAACGTAATTTGAAAAATGTAGATGTTCATCACATTGACTTACAAATAAATGGACGACGGGTCTAATACAAAAACCACGAAAAACATGTCCCAAGTCAACCTATTCGAAATTTAAATTGTAATGTCATCGCAGTATCGCGCTGTCAGTCGAACAAATGAAGACTAAAGCGGAGTTTGGCGCTCTGTATACGATTTTAGCGCCTTACAAGTGCGGACACTTTTTAGCGCGGACCCGACGTCCATATAATTGTAAGTCAATGGTTCATCACATTATTCTCGTCCTATTTTGAAATAAACATTTTCTACTCCTGTACTGTCAATTATAATTGCTTTCGTATATGAAGAGGCTGTATGGTTGAACCTTTGCCTACCCTACTTATATGAGTTAAAATTTATTTTAAAAAATTGCGTTCGTTGTCATGGATTGTTAACAAAATACACACTTTAGATTGGTTCTGTTGTAATTTTTTATTTACTCGTAGAAAATAGTATTTTATGCGATCGTTGCATAATGAGCGTTCTTAAAGTCGTAAAGGTTCGTAAATTTTAAGACCTAATTATGTAATCATTGCATAAAATACTATTGTTAAATGCAGTAGATATTTTTTTCGTTTACGGAGGGAAAGGCTTTACGCATATCCTCGATGCTATCTGGGACTTACCTACTACAACGCCTCTAGCCACCCTGGTTTCCACCAGGATTCCCGCTAGAGAGGGGAAAGTCGACTCGCTTGACTCATCCCCAAGACGGGTGAGACCATGCAATGCGAGAAGGGATCCCCGTCCCCTGTCCGCTGGCTTCACTGGAGAATCAGGCGAACAGCGAACTGCGTTTGCCTACTTTCCCGCTGCCTACGAGCAATTATTATTTCGTATTGACTGCGTTTTCGAAATGCAGTAGGTATTTACGTATTGATATTTTATACCAGCATGGCGGACTGGGATCTTGATTGTGGAGTAAGATTATGAAATAGAAATGAAATGCTAAACAATTCTGAATTTAAGGCACTCCTGTTCAAACTACTACAAACACAAAAATAAACTTGCCTACTATTTGGTATATTTTTTAACCACCGAGCGACCGCTTTAATTCTGTAATATCGCGTGTGCGATAACCCGCGCTATGCAATGCTAGTGCACCGCGAGATTATGAGCGTGTGTCCTAGCCGTGCTGTCTCAAGTTGATTCTGCGTTAATAAATGTGGTGACTCTCTTCAATGAAGGTTCGCTTACAACAATTGTCAACGTTGTGTTCAGCATTTAACATTATAAAGCGCAGTTTTGTAGGGGTACCCATTGATTGGTCAATCAATGGTCTACAGGCAAGGATGGCATTACGGAGTTTATGCAGAGATACATTTTTGACGAGTGTATAGTAAGTAAACTCGGCTGCAAAAATTAAGATTCTTATTAGTGTCATAATTGAAAAACTCTTCGAAAACGCCGAGTAGTTTCGAATAGTGGTCTACAATAACTTATACAGCTATTCGTTGTATTTGCTTAGTCAATTCCTGGTATTTTTCGTCATGCTTCCGAAATGACTTGCAAATGTTATAAACAATTGTTTCAGTGTACGTAACTAATATCCATGTTTAAAGCTAAATAAACAGATCCTACTGAGAAAAAGTAGATTTTTCTTATTTGTGTATTTTAAAACTTGCGTGTGTGTACTGTGTACTCACGTGGCCTACTTCTCATTAAATTGTAAACATTTTTAGGTTACTTGTCTGTATACTATCGATACATGATATCAACTAAGCTGGTATTTAAAAAGTGTGTCCGACCTATTAGGCTTTTTTCCATGTTCGAAAATTAGCATTATTATTAACACGTGAATCATTTAATGATTGTTTACTCAATGATTAAGATAGTTTTACCATAACATTTTTGTCGATAGCTGTGTATATGTAACATACAGTTATCGACAAAACGTTATAATATGTGTATACCAAACCAAACCCAAAGTAAAATGAAAGAAGTATGGTAACTCCGTATAAAGTAACAGCACTGCATGTCGTGTACAGATGCCATATTCGCATAATAATTATAGGAGCGTTGAGACGACCATTGTTATGTAACGCAAGAGCATCGTGAGATTATGCGAATGTGTGCGTCCGTGTAACGCGCGCGGCGGGCGTGCACACATACAAGACGCGTTGCTACGTTTGTATGGAGTTACCATACTTGTCTTAGTATTTTGTGCCAATACCGCCACTAAACGCAAAAGTCAACTTTCGGGAACATAAATTTAATGTTTGTGAAAATAAGTTTGATTTGTTAACAATATATAATGATGTACTTATACAAATATAAGGCTTTTATGATACGCGAACATTGAATAACAGACGCTTTTTAATATTTCAGTTCATTGCGAAGGCTTGTTCATTGTTTTTCATTGCAATATATTAACCAAGTTAACCGCGACCATGACTTGGTTAATAAAGTAAATCTATTAAGAGCCTCAAAATGTTGGTTTGTTTGAAAAAACAAATACTTATCGATCTAGATCTGAAAAAAATATTTCATTTCCAATATGTAACCATCGCGAAAATCTAAGAACTCAGGTTATCAGATTTAATAGCATTAACTTTGTTTATGTCCGTTGTAGGTATGTCTTAACAGGAAAGTTATGGATCGTGATGGGTGCTGGGTGGATTTCTGAGCTCCTGTCCACTATGTTCTCAAAACCAGCATGGCTGTGGGCAACTGTAGATCTCGTTAACGAACTACAAGGACTATTCATATTCCTCATATTCGTGTGTAAACCGAAAGTCTATCATTTGATTAAGAAGAGACTTGGTAAGAATCATTTGACTTTGTTTTACAATATCAATGTTTCTAAAATACTTTACAAAAAAACTGTACTAAACGTAGTTTCAAATACTAGGAATTGTTTACTACGCCCATAATATCAGTTCCGGTAGACTATGAACAATATTAGTGAAATCATATGAAAATTTATCAGTGAATGAGGATTTCTTATCGATTCTTTTTTCGAATTCCTTTTATCGATTGAAGAGATTTGTCAATACTATTTCAGACAGTTATTATCTTTACAGGTTGTTCAAGGACCCCGATCGATACAAGTATATATACTGATATAAATATATTTACTGTTGTCTGTAACATTTATTCTTCTCTTATTTTTAATACTTACTATTCCTTACTAATGCTATTTGGAACGTAGTCATGACTTTATGCACTGATTCAACATAGTTTATTTAGATTAAAACATTACGTCAGCTTTCATTATAGCACTCACCATTTGTATACTCACTCGTTGTTTTTGTGTAGATAGTGATTTGCTTATTTAGAAACGATATCCAATACTCAAAGTAGATAACATAATGTCGAATTATATTTTGTTTATTGGTCTTATCAGTATTATTTATAAAGCACATTTTAGTTGATACTCTAATTTTTTTTGTTTACTTTGTCTGGCTATCGTAACGTGATGTACACACACCTTGCCTATAGTTGTGGTTCTTACGAAATTTCGACATTGTTGTCCTTTGGGTATATAAAAAAATATTTGATTCTTGCCGTAAAATTAATATTTAACAGCAAATTATACTTAATTGCTACTAATGCCTACATAAAATATTGATTATTATGTTAAAATACAAATAGTATTAATATGAAAATGTCCACGAAATCATTCCCTCACTATGTCCCAAGTTCCGTAACCAAACACGTTCTGTGCTTTGAATCAATACGTTGAACAAAAATAACATTTAAATTTTAAACATTCGATCAAATAAAACATGTTTTTGTCAAATTAAAGTTATCTTGGGGTAAAAACACTATAAACAAATTAAAATTATATATATTATTCATTTCCTTACAAAAAAAAAATCATTCCCTCACACTCTTACCTTCACTCGATCTGTGAACGCATTTTTAGTCTTTGGTAAATGCATTTCTAAGTTTTGAGAGTTAGCAGCACTGTAAACGTTTCAAAATGACGAAATTCGACTTGTGTGTGTAAGAAGTTTCTACTACGAAAAGATTTAATTTAAAATTCTAAAAGTTACATGTTTTACAGTCATTTCTCACATCATATTAAAAGAAGTTAAGCATTTGATTTCATTTATTAATTATACACTCAGATGAGTTATTGGTAGCAGTAAGCTTACACAAAATATGAAGTTTAAAAGTAAATTTATATAGCTATTTTTTCTTGGTTTATTTTGATTTCGTCATTCCCTCGCTTCCCTAACGCTGAAATGTTCTGACTACTTTCTACTTTTTCTTAAAAGTAATTTATTTTGGAGACCACTACATCATTAAATCTGTTCACATAAGTACTATGAAATTTAGAAAAAATAAGTACAAATACTTCCTAATATTTTTCATAAATATCGAAAACACGAATTTCGGAATTTCGTGAGAACTGCCCAATTATCTAAATGACATGTATGACGTCATTAACTTGAACTATTATGAACAGGTTTGGAGAAACAGGATGTTCAGAAGAATGGTACTTCCTCATCAGGTCGCACGTCATCCACCTTCCTTTCAAGAACCATCAGCAACGATGAACGCACCGTCTTGCGGGCCTCACTCCCTAACAATGACATTAAGAAAGCTTAGATTAACGCTTGGTTCGTATTAATATCGTTGCTTTGTATACCTACTTATTAATATACAATTTATTGCAATAGCGCATTTGCATTCTATGATCGATATTAGTTCAAAGTTATTATTATTACCAGTAATTAAAATGATTATTATACATATCTCAAACTCTGAAAATTGGAACAGATTTCAACGTGTATACAGAAAGTGTGTGCTGTGTTCTTCTGCACTAAAAAAAACTTAAAAGTTTTGAAGGTGCACTGAATGAGGCAAATTTAATTTACCTAAATATGAATGGTATTTGTTCTAGGTCTTTCTTTTAAAGTAATCCTATGTATGACACGATGGGCACATAAGTGATTTATATTATTAAATAATTATATAATGACAGCGATGGCCCCACCGGCTGAACGCGTATTATTTACACGTTTATAATGTATACATGCACGCTTATTCGGTAAGGCCTTTAGAAATAATACTTTATTGCACAAAACGTAAACAAAAATTCAACTGAGGTAGGTTAAATGTAAATTAGACTTGACCACGTTTGTAAAATGGCATTCTGTAATGTTTAAATGAGACATTTTAACAGTGGACCCCGAAGTTTATGCGTTTAGTTTCGTATATGATGTCTAGTCATAGTATTAAGATTTCGTTAGTGTTTTATGGAATATAAGACATATTATATATTCATACTTTTTTACGTATTTTAGAATAAAAACGTTATGAAGGTAGCATTTTCTTGATAGGCTTTTTGGATCTTATCTTGAATAGAGTTGAACTGAAAGCTTAAGGTGGACGCGTGGTTTACACACAAATTTCAGCATTTAATCATGATTGCATGAATAATTAATTATAAATATTTTATTCCATTTATTAATGAAAGAAATCTCTACAATCGAGAAGAAATCTATTCAATATGTATATTAGCAGGCCAAGGTAAGTAAATTAAAGGTGAGTTGTCTCAAATAGCAATGTCGCAGTAACCAAGTACCTTTAAGCGTTAGAATTTTAGTACCAGCTAGAGATGTGTGCCTATCGTAAAACAGCGGCGGCGTCTGATGGTTTTTAAGATGATCGACGTGTAATCGCCTTAAAACATACTTTTCAGGTATTTAAAAACATCGTATAAAAATTAACGTTCTTAATTTGAAACTGGAATATTAAGAAGATGTACTATCTAGACAATTGTACAATAATATGTACAGACAATTGTACTCTAATAATCTATATTATTACAGTACAGAAATACAGTAAATAATTAAAAATAAAACAAATTTTCGCCGCGCTGGTTTTACGTCGATCAGATTTATCGACGGCCGCGGTGACGATGGCGTGGAAGACTCGGTTCACATGTCTAGTGCCAATTAACGAGATGTTCCTTGTGTGATGGAGGCTCAAACTGGTGTGTTGCCGAACTTCACATACTTGTAGTTACTTAGATGTTAATATTTGTTTCAACTTATCTAGTATTAAGTGTTAAACCGCGTCAATCTTCTCAGCTTGTACCTTAGAAGATTGCACAAATTTAATTAATGACCGAGTTACTCAAGCAAAAGTCTCTTAAATTTGGTTCATTTACTTTCACGCGTCGACAGCAGCAGTCATCAAAAATGCATAAATCATCTTTTTTCTACGTACCTACTGTACTTGAGCATCGAATAGTTACAATAATATTCTTACAACTCAATTTACAACTTACCTTATTCCGTTTTGTTAAATTTTTAAACTTAATGATTATGGTATAAATCTGATAATGTCTCTGTATAAATTACGTAGAAATAAAGCTGTATGGACTTATTTATGAGCTTTTTTTTTTATATAGGTACAGGGTGTCTCACGGCTTTGCGACACCGAGGGAAAGTATTTTAAATATTGTATATAGAATATTTTGTTTCATAAAGATTATTTTAATTTTAAAAGTATGTATTTTTTTCATATTTTTTATTAGTTATTACTACTTGCATTCAAAGATTTAAAAAAAGTCTTATCTGGGAACCCAATCGATCAGATGCGAAAGTATAGGACATTCCCTAGTTTAGTTGCTAACACATTATTATTATTGCTTCTTGTTTGTTAAATATTTCATGTATCCCCAGAAAAATAAATCCAAGTGTCCACGTATACCGATCCAGGAAGAAAAATAATCATTAAGAGACTCGATTGCTCGAAGAGCCGGCGAAAATCGACAGTAAAACGTACCTATAGGGTCAAGAGTACATCAAGCTTGACACTTAAGATTTAAATCTGACTCTATGCCGTTAATGATAAGAACGGTCCAAAAGTAAAATGTAAATTTTCATAGCGTTCCTTTAGTTCTTGTTACATTGCTGGACTGCCACGGGTTCTATTCCCGGGCCAGGATAAATATTTTTGTGGCCTACATTTATTGCTCTCGTGGGTTTGGGTGTAATTTATCGTAGTCTATGTGTGTGTTCATGGCACCCGCGATACAGATTTTCCCTAGTGCGTTATTATAATAATAATAATTCACATTGGGTATACATTCACATTAGGTCCTTCGATTCCCAGATGCGGCAAGCAAGTTTAAAAAAATCTTCGAGTACTTTTAAAAATAAAATTATGTCTCCATGGAGCAAAATATCCTATCCACAACATTGGCAGTACTTTTCCTCTGTGTCGCAAAGCCGTTGGAAACCTTTATATGTTTCAGCTAGAGCTATGTTTTGTTTGAGCGATGGTAGTTCAGCAGGAGAAAGGTCGCTTTTGAATTGAGACGTCGTCGGTTCATATTCCTCCATATGACGGCATGTACCTATGTATGATTTTTATTTTTACTCACATTTGACCATGTTTTGTAGCCATACCTTTCGATAGCCGCGAAGGAAAACATGGTCATGAGACCTGTATGCCGAAGAATGTTCGCGATTCCTATGAAACTGGTGAAGTCCCCAACTCGCGTCTGGCGAGCGTTGTGGACGATGGCCTCAATAAATAAATAATGCACACACTCATAGCCCCGCACCAGGCAAACCCTGTCGCGCGGGTGCCATGGACACGTACATAGACAACTACAAATTACACCCAAACTCACGAGAGAAATAAGTGTAGGCCATACAAATATTCACTCGGACGGATGGAACCAAACAGGGGGCTCTGCGTGGCAGACCAGTGTGGTAACCGTTCGGCCACGGAGGCAGTTAATAAGTAAATACGTCTTTAGGGGAGACTCGGGCTCAGCCGGAGACGTGTAATGGGATGAATGTTTTATTTTACACAAAACATCTTTAAAACTTATGTTCCTCACAATATTTTGTATATTTGCTGCGAGTCGTAGAAATACTAAGAACCAAACGAAAACATGAATTTCCTGAGCACGTGTGCTCGCTTGGGAGATTTAGTAGAGAGTGGCGATGGAAAGAAGAAAAGTAAGTGACGAAGAAGAAAAGATATTCAAGAACGATTCAAAACTTCAAAGTAGAAATAAATAGTTATACAAATCCTAAACTTCATTTAATAGAAGGTCTATAATTAATTTGAGTTTCATGAAAAGTATCTAGGCAAGTAGGTGGCCAGGGACCAGAGAAAAAGGCGATGACAATGAAAGAGGTCGCATCTTCACATTCTTAAGGTGCTTTTTCTACAGGTGAGGCGAGACGAGATGAAATGTGGATTGAAATTTGTAAGGCAAAATTTCAATAATATTCTACTAGCGCATCTTCGGTGGAAATGGTCTAGACTGACAAGGGTGTGCGAGATGAGAGTTGAAAGATTTATTGGTGTAATATTGAATTGTAATGCTGTCTACATGAGTATTTATTAAATGAACAACGGAAACTCGGTTTACGGTAAGTTTTGCGCGTGCACGCGCCGGTACGCGCGTGCTCACGCTTGTTATTATTAATATCAATCGCAAGATTGTGGGCTGCCTACGATTTAAGATTCAATAATCTCAGTACAGAGTACTAAAAAAACCGACCTGAAAAGTCATTCATCCCCTAGTTTGCCACCCTTAGCGGTGGAATTTTTTGGTTCATGTAAATAGGACCACTGAGGTACTCTCTTTCCCACAAAAAAAGAACCACCAAAATCGGTTCACAAATACCGGAGTTATCGCGTAACATATATACAAAAAAAAACGTACAGTCGTATTGAGAACCTCCTCCTTTTTTGGAAGTCGATTAAAAAAAGATGCTTCATTTGATTTTTCTCCCGTTAACATATTGAATAACAAGGGACATGTTACTTCACCTGCTTGTTAATCGCTAGACGAACAACAGCACTGATCTTCACTGTCCACGAACTCAGAACGAGCTACGCGATCTCGCGTTGGCCATTAAAGGAAATTTTTAACTATTAATGGCGTAAGTGAATTCTTTAAATTAAAATGAAAATGTTTTCAGTAGTAAGAATCCAAGAATGATAAAAAAGACGTGTTTTCGAGTAATTGCTGAAAGCTGCGGATAAAGGGGCTGGTATCCTTAACCATGGTAATAAATAAAATATATATATTTTATAAAATTATCCTTTTAGTTGCTCCCGGTACGTGACATGAATACTTTTGCTAGACTAGCATTTATCCAAATAAAACTTAGTCTTTTAATATTTTTATGTTACTACTTAGTAGGATGAATTTTTAAACGACACAACTTTAGAAAAAATTCTCGAAAATAAGTTACCTATACAAAAAAAAATATATTTTATAGTTCTCCTGTTAGAACATAGCACGTGCAATGTGCATGCAATAATACAGGCTGAAAAAAATCAAAGGGACTTATGTATCTTCATCTCGCTTCGACTCCCTTTAGGGCTAATTTTATTTAAAGGAAACTTTCTTTTATTTTTCTTAAGATGAATATCTGTTCACAGATTTTGTGAAAAGTTTAACTGAGTCAGAAATCATTCAAAAATAAACACTCACTATTTTTACAGGTTGAATAGATGCGTTTGATTTTTAATTACTGCTACAATGTTAGGTAGACAATAAGGGTAAAACAAAAAAAAAAATATTTTTGTAACGTATACCTATTTAAGGCATTTTATTTTTTATATATTAATTAGTACTATACATGAATTATGTACAAATGATAAAATGATAACACTTGATTAAAATTACACAGTGCGTGTTACATGTAACACGATTTGGAGTGTAATAAAAATAATTTATAAATTTACTACTACTAAGTACAATAGTGCGTTTTTAATTTGTATTCACTCTGTAACAACGCATAAATACCTAGTATTTTAACTAATGTGTATATCAGCAATCGTGGTAATACACGTGTAGTTAAATTTTATACATCATAATTTTACTTGCCAAATATCAGGCTGATTCCACATTAAGTAAAGGTACTGAATATTTCGTACCAAAACTTTTGACAATGCTAAATTATTAGTTATCATAAATATGTGTTATTTCGAAATTTAAAACACGTAGAAATAGCAATACTAATATTTAATATTAGTTATATACTTCCAAAAATAAATATCTTCCGGCTTCGGTAACCAAATTTATTCTTATATAAATATTACAAGATACTACAAATATTATAGCAAGGTTTAAATATCTGTTTACTTAAGTATACTTGTATATCACATGATAAAGGCTATATTCTAAATGTTGACTTTTTAAATATTTTTAAGTAAGAACTGTTGTCACGTATATCAAAAAGTGGACCGTCATTTTGTTGCTAATTTTTCATCAATTCTTACTATTGAAATTAATTGAGACTTGGCGAACAAAATTTTAGTGCGAAAACGGAGCGACGAATTGCATTAATAAAATTAATGTTTCCAGTTTATTAATTACGTTAATCTTTACAGCTACACTCTGACACTGGGATCTATCGATAAGTCTTGTCTTTAGACTACAACCATATAGAACATCTAGGCTTCGTCATACTTTGGTTATAAGACGCGATTTTGATTTCATTTTTCTTCGTTTTCTGTCTATGTTTTGATAGTTAGTATCAGCCATGAAGCGAAGACGCACGCTATGGGCGTACCTGTAAATATACTCAAAACAAGCGTAAGTGAGGAAGTAGTGTGGACGGTAGTAGTGAGGTCAGGTCCTGTGGTTGGGTTGGACGGTGATCGGCGCTGCTGTGGGTGTGCTGTAGGCGGCGGGGGTGGGGCTGGCCGGGGGCGAGGATTCTTCCGCTTCGGCATCTTTCTCTCCCATCTCTTCTTCATCGATGATCGAAATGTCGCGAATCGATGGACGGTGTGATCTTCTCCAGCCTGGAATTAAGGCGGTTTTTGTTTAATTGTCGTGTTGGAAGATTTTTATTTACGAGATCTTTTGTTATAAAATGTTGTAAAGAGTAGTTTATTAAACCTCGGTGGTAAATACTATGGGCGCTGGATGAGGAGGTACTGAATTCGTGAGCCGAATTGGGAAATGACCTTTTCTAAATTGGTTCTAGTCTGGGTGTTCTGGAAAGTGCCCCAGAGTCTCTCCGCTGGTCTAGTACTCATATAATAGAGAATTGTTTGGCACATTATTACAATTTGTTTCGTAAAAGATGTTACTCGATTTGCTATTCAATATGTCCTTTTTTCTGCAATTGATATTTCTATGTTTAATTTGCATATAAGGGATAAACATCGTGTCCACCAATCAAACACAGTAGATAAATAAGGTTAAAGTTTATCAATAGACGTATTTTTGTACAAATAAGTGACGGTCAATTTACCAGTCGCTAAAATGATCTCGCTTGGAGTAGTTGCGCGCTTTGGCGTATTATTATTATTAGTGATTGTAACTATTTGTGAAAAATGCGAATCTTCAGAGTTATTTGAAAAACTTAAAATCATAAAATCTAGAAACTTTGACGCGGGCGATTTTGAACAAGTGGAATTTGTTCCACAGGAGATAAATACATCAAACGCAGAAGGTGACACGCTGTTACCTATCGATTTACAAAATAAAGGAGATCAAAAAGAAGTAGCAAGACAACGAAAACGTGCTATTTTGAGAAACAATCCACGTGTCGTTAGACAAGCTTACCAAGGTCAAGGATACCAGCCCCTTTATCCACACTTGCCCAATAATCCGTGGTACCCGAATACAGACGGCTATGGACGATATCAGCCTGAACCACAACATGGGAATGGAAGTAATAATACATGGTCAACATATCCGAATAATTTCAACAATGGAATGCAAACTTCTTATAACAATTCTCATTCTACTTTTCCACCTTATAACTTTAATCAAACACAGTCATCATACCCAAATTACCCATCTTACTATAATAATTCAAATTTAAACTACACATCCTATAGTCAAATTCAAAGACCATCCTATAGTAACAATAATTCTTATCCAAGTTACCCATCATATAATCCAAGCCAAAGACCGCCTTATTATAATAATAATACATCCTATCCTAGCTACCCATCACATAATGCTAGTCAACGGCCGCCGTACAATAACTTCTCCTACCCTGGTTTTCCATCGTATAATCCAAATTCATCATATAACAATAATTCTCACGCAATTCACCCATCGTATAATCCAAGCCCAAGGCCGCCTAATAACAATCCACACTCCAGCTATCCGTGGTATAATACAAGTCAAAAACCATTTTCCAATAATTCATACCCTGGTTACCCAACGTATAATCCAAGTCCACGGCCGCCAAATGTTAATCCACACTCCAGCTACCCGTGGTATAATACAAGTCAAAAACCATTATATAATAATTCATACTCTAGTTACCCATCTTATAATCCAAGCCGAAGACCGCCCTATTATAATAATAATGCTTCCTATACTAGCTACCCATCATCTACACCAAGCTATTTGTCGTTTAACCACAATACCTCATCATATCCAAGTTACCCACAGCATAACACAGGTCAGAGATCACCTTACACTAATAATTCGTACCCCAATTACCCATCGTACCCTTCAAGTCAAAGGTCACCTTACAACAATGATCCGAGATCTACCACACCCTCATTTTATCCAAATTATACGTCTACCAACGGTTCTCAGTACCCACAAAACCCACAATTCAATAATTTCAGGCCTAGTTATCCTACTAATCATCCGATACAAAACCCATTGGCTCCCGGTTATACAAATGCCCCATATAATGGTCAAAGTACGATGAACGGGCCACAACTTAATTATACTTATACTGGTCCTTATTCGTCTAACGCCCCAAGTCACAACTCTAACCAACCGCCCTACCATGATCAAAATTTCAGGCTTAGTTATCCTAATAATCACCCGATACAAAACCCATTGGCTCCCAGTTATACAAATGCCCCATAAAATGGACAAAGTACAATGAACGGACCACAGCCTAATTATATTTATACTGGTCCTTATTCGCCTAACGCCTTAAGTCACAACCCTACCAGCAGGCCTACCATGATGAAAATGTTTTCCTTCCTACTTCACAAAATAATAACACTAAATTCAATTATAACGACTTTCGCCCAAAATTGTTTAACGTTCCATATTAATGTAAAGGCTATAACCACTTCCGCGTAGAATTGTTTAATGCTCGACTTATCTGTAAGTTTTATAAAAGCAATAGATAAAATATTAGCTATAATTAGTAGTATAAAGTTATACGTTAAACCTATAATGTTTTGAGATTGTGTGTATTGAGATAATGCGTAATTTAACCTTTCAGAATTAATCGATAACGCCCAATTTAACATATTAAAGTTTCATTACTCAATATTCTGCGTTTTCATTATATATCTCTTGATCTGGTTTAAATATAAGCAAAAAAAATGTGTTCGCTACAAACAGGGAAGTGTTGTGAAAGAATCATTTCTATTATGTATGGTAATTCACCTTCCAGCACTGGAGGCTTGGTTGTTTTGGAGAGCAGTCGGGGACCGGCGATGGTAATGACAATAGCACCGACGGGTGCTGTAATGACGATGGACATGATGCATACGGTAATGACGATCTCGGCGTATTCTATAAGTTCGGCTGGCGGATCTTCCCCGGTTACAGCGTACATCTTCTTCACTTCATCCAGGGCAACTGTGCCTAATGCTGCCTGGAAAGCAATTTTGTATAGGTTTAAATTTTGGTTCTTGTATTACAGGTGAAGTAAATAAAATTTAATAAAACAATATACCAAAATCAATAGCGAGGCTTACTAGTAGTCAATGTCTAGTAGAAAATTGATTAGAACGGACTGATGTTGATTAAGAACGCGGTTAGTGCTGGATTTACCTGTACTGTGGCTTTGGCCATCCAGGAAAGGCCAACAAAGAACTTCTCCTTAGTGTTGAGGTTGCTGCGCACGGCGCAAGCACTGGTGAGGAGTGCTCGAAGTACTGTGCAGGTCAGCAGGATGCCAGCGCTAATCAGTACCAGGCGTGGCTCCAGCTCCTTGATCTGAACGTTAGACCATACATATTAAATTAATTTTTAGAAAAACCATTTTGAGTTTATAGTTGCACATAATCGCTGTTCTGACCACGGAACAATAAATACAGTAGAAGTGCTTAGTTTGCGTGACACGCATAAAGTAGCAAAACTTAGTGTGCAAAAATGATAATTCCACTTGTAATATTAAATATGGGGTGTTTCATATCACCATTAAGTCTTATGTCATTTAATTTTAATAAATTTTCAATTTTCGGTTTTTCATTATATAATCATTTTTTTGTTACAAGAAACGATAGTAAAACTTATATCGCAGCAATATGGTCGCTTCTTTTTTGGAGACCAAAATAACATCTCGTATTCGTCGTTGTTCAGCTATTAACCGCTAGATGGCAGCACATTAATCGAAGTTGTAATATAAAAACAAAACGTTACTTGCAATAATAGAATTGATGGTATTGAACTTTCAACGATATGCCAACAGCGTAATGTTTAAATTATATTAACAGTCCAGAGTTCGTTATTTATTTTTAAATTTGAAACTACGACCAATCATTATTAAGATTTCGTATTGTTTCAAATTATAAATGCGTGAGTTTTGGCGACAGCGGTTCTGATAGTAATCCAGGCTTATGACACTTCCATTTTTTTTCTTCCGTGGTTCTGATCCCACATAACATATTTCTCAGGATTTTGTTTTAGGAAAACTTACAACAACTTGAGCACCAGTGACGGAGAAAAGCATAGGCTCGAAGAACATCCAGAAGATCTCGAAGGCTGTGGCAACAGGGTTGTCTTCCAATTCCCAGCCCATCTCCGTCCAATTCTTGCACGCAATAAATGCGGATGCTATCACTGCTAGTGGTCCTGTAACACGTTTGTTCACAGGTTATTTACTAAAGTATAAGAAAGTAATAAAGTAATAAGGGAATGAGAAAGATGGGGTTACAATAAAAAAAATCTTTTATTTTTTTGGCCGAATTTCGTAATGTGTAATGAGACAGACTACACTAGCTATAAAAAATACTCCGAAGATTAATTATAGTATGATTTCCCATTGAGACGCAGCCACTAGTTACTACATATCATATAGCTTTTAAATAAATTGCCTAAGACGACGATATACAAGCATATCATGAGAAAATTCTGCGATAGGAATGTTGGATGATTATTTCAAGTTGCATTATTTCTCTCCCGTTTTATTGGCGATTGGCACATTCACTTATAATTAGGCATTGTTCGAGTGAAAGTTAACCCTTGTGCCGCGGAAAACAATCAATCGTATCGATTGAATCCACAAAACAGTTTTAATGATTACTCAGTAAGAACTTGCTCGTGTTATGCGTCCGTCGGTCTGTTTGTAAATTCTGAGAAAAAAACGAAGAGGTTTCGCCTTCGCATTACAATTCGTTTCAAATCACAGCTGATATGTAATTTATTAGTTTCCTGGCGTGAGATGTCAGTTTACATACATTGTTTTTTCATTTATACACATAGCGATTGTTCCAAGGTTAGAATTGATACCTAAATGGTTTTGCCATTAGACGTAAACATTTTATAGCTGTCGTCAAGCGGCTGCGGCGACCGCAGATCACGAGACTTTTGTTCGTGTGAACATGACTCATATTATCAGTTGTTAAAAACCAATAACCGGAATTTTTCGCGGAAGTTCTAGATGTCATGCTCGTTTTTGGAGTGAAATAAATGTGTTTTGTACTTTCATATAATACAGTGCAGTACAATAATATAGGGCAACTAATATAAACAAAAAAAACGAAGGTTTGTGTAACATCGTGATATCTTTAACGGATTTCAGATTTTTACTTATTCTAGTATTCTATTTGAGAATCTTCTTTATTCATTTTTATTAGCGATAACTTTACTATTTTAACTATATCACATTACTTCTCAAGTCCAGTCCAGCAGATAAATGTAACGACAAAAAAAATGTTTTACCAGCGCCACCCCATCCAACTTCCTCGGAACCAAGCACGGAGACAAGTCCACCAGTAAGAAGCATTAGCACCCTTAGAGGCACTAGGAAAGCGTCATTCCTCTCCGGGACATACTTGAGAAGGTAGCCGCACAAAACGCCGAACGCTACGCCACCGATCACGCTTAGAGGTCCCTGGAGAATAGACATTTAGGTCTTGTTTACGGTGTGTTCTTTAGGTTATTCGCCCGTTTGCCAGAACAACGTATTATTTATATATGTTGACACGTTACTAACAGATAACACGTTGTTCTGGCAAACGGGCGATATGTGTTAAAATATGTTATGATAATAATAACGCTGGCACAAATTTTCTAAACTTTTTTACATTTTAGCTTTAAAAAATTGAACACAAGCCGCTAGAGTGCTTCGATTGGAATCGGTACGATTTTACAATAACCTTGAGGTCCCCGTTTAATAAGTCGTTTTAAATGCACTAGAATGAAAATTAGCATATTTTTCTATGCTTTCCATAAAGACAATTGGCAGGATAATAATCTTTTGCAACTTGTACTTTACTAGTTAATTTCGGAAAATTCGCCATATCACTTGAAAGAGTACTTACTACAAAGGATTATAATATTTTGTAGCGATTTTACATAAAGGGGATATACATATGCTTTTTTATAAGACCATATAACTTGAAGTGTCTGTAGAATGTATTTTAGGTGACATTTTTAGCTATATATGATTTAACTTTTTATATATTTTTTATAAGGTTGAAACTATAAACAGCAGAAAAGAATAAAATTTATTAAAAAAACGCCCTTCCAAAATGCAGTAAGTCGCATGATTTTTGATACGGGCAATGATGACGTCGCACCACATTTAATAATATTTGACTTGCAAAATTCAAAAATACGAATAAAAATGTTACAAACATATGTAATTAAAGGGTATTATTGAATTGAAATAAATGCACTACTTACTTGCACAATATTCATAGTAAGCGAAGATGTAGCGAACATGATAGCCGAAACGATGCCAAAAACAGCGACACTGGCAGCGTCATCGATACCAGATACTGCAAGTACTAATGTCGGTATGCCCTTGCTGACACCGTAGCCCTTACCACGCAGACGGAATAGGCATGGTACCACCACTGCGGGGGAAACTGCTGCCACTACAGAACCCAGGAGAAATGCTGAAAGGAGATGGTGTTTTTACTTTATTTGTTATAGACTTAGAAGGTTATTATGAGAATACTTTTTGAATTTTCTTGGATTTTTTTCATTCACTTTGTACACTCCTGACTAGTATGTATAACGGACTTGGCTTTTCCGCAATTAAACAAATTCTAAGACTTTATAATTATAATATTTCATGCTTTAAATTGCTGTCAGAACTATATACGATAATATTATTTATAAATATATCCTGAAAGTAAAATATAACATTTTTAAACAATTGTCATTAACTTTTATTACTTATATGTATAGGTAAGTTATACAGGCACAGTGTTGGTATCGTAGACTAATTGGCAGGATCAATCTTAATCTAATTGGGTACTTAATTTCAATGAAACTTGCGTGAAACTTACATTTATAAATAACTAATAACAATAGTGAAGAATATACACTATCGTACTAGTAATGTATGTAATTCATAAAAACACGACAATCTGTTTAAAAGCCTCGCGCTTAAAATTGCTTAAAAAGGCGTTGCTTGTTTCCTATAAAATATTGAACTAGGCAGACACATACAAGTAATTCATTTACAATTTCGGACTTGCTGTGCCTACCATGATTTAATTTCACAATAATATTTACAATAGCATTGTCAAGTAATAGTAATATACCGACCCATGTAATGCGCGGTTAGTCTAGTAGTATATAGTACTTTTTTCTAACGCTGGCTGGCAAAAAGTGTAAATATTTTTATTATATTTATTCTTATATTTTTACTTGTAATGTATACTTTACCCCAATCCCAAGGTAGTGAAAGAAGAAAATGTGACATGACGGCACACAGACAGCACTCGAAGGTCCACGGCACCAGCGCCAACTTGATCACAGTTAGGAAAATCTTCTTCATCGCAACCGGGTCCAAATCCAAACCAGCTCGAGTTAAAATTATGGTTAAAGCTATTTTTCTGTAATTTGAGTTGAATATCGTATAATTAATTAATAAAAAAAAACTAAAGATATTAGTTATCTCTTTGCCATATAATACAAATACTGCTTAAAAAGTAGGTACAAGAGTGTACCTTTTGATTATGGTTAACTTAAATTATTTTAGGAGTTTATTCAACTTGATTCATTCATATTTTATTTGTAACTTTATTTGTGTATTTGTAACTTTATTATGAAGTTTATTAAATTATAAATTAATACAATCTCAGTTATATTATGTTATAATGATAAGCTGATAGGTTTTATGTTTGGAAATGAAACTATATTTTTTAAACTAACACAAACCCGAAACACGTTTCGGGGTGTCATGCTATATAGCCACGCCACATAGCCACGCCACCCATTTCTTTGTTATGATATTATTTATTGTAATGTATGGCTAACATATATATATATATATATATATATATATATATATATATATATATGTATATATATTTGTAAATGTACTACTATTCATTTATAAGAAGACAAAACAATTACGGTGGCGTTGCTACAGAGGATGTTCTGTAGCGACGCCACTTATTATTAATACTTTTAATGCAATTTTATAAAGAAAATAGCCGAAATGTAAGTTCATTCTGCTACATTTCAATTGCTAAATTTTATAATAATGAAACGCCTATAAAAGTGAATATGAAGGCGTTTCATCAAAGATGTTAGCCGTACATTATAGTGGGTAATGTCGTAATAAAAAAAGGGTGGCGTGGCTATATAGCATGACACGTTCCGGGCTCTTTACTGATCCCATGATCACGATTATGCCAGTTGGCCGAAAATTTTAAACGCGATTTAGATCCGGAATTGTTACATTTCCTAAATACTCGATATGACTTGACGCTTTGTTTTCAAATTAATGCCTATGAACAAGCTTACCTAATGTAAGAAGTGACGTGTAAATAATCTTCATCAAAATCTACAAAGCCGACGTTCTTGAGGACGATTCCAATGATCAGCATGCCAATGAGGGGGGGCAGCGTGGTTATTTTCACCATGAGCCAGCCGCCGAAGTGCGCAGCGATCGTGAGCGCTGCCAGCATGAACAGCTGGCCGCCAGGTGCGGCTGTACTGCCCATTACTATCCATACTAATACCCATATCAATATACCTGGATGAAATAAGACAACGATATATTAGCCTACAGCAAAAAACTTGGGTGACCAATCGAAAGTCGAAATTACATTTTTCCGAAATAAGGTTTGCTTTAGGTAATTTTCAAAATCTTGATAACCGACTTTTAACGAAACAGTCATTCTTTCAGGGTATCTTGCGTACCTATCAAAAAGAAAAAAATAGGTTAGGTTTGTTTTATAATATTCTTAAAACAGTGTTTTCTTTTAATTGTAATTACTTTCAGAATCCAGAATTCAGATTTACTTTTAAAATTCGAACAAACGTTATTTCGGGCAAACGTAGTTTCGGACTTCTTGTAGGTAATCAAAAACTACAGTCTTCTTACTGTAAATAGTCGAATTTCTTTTCAGAAAACTTAACGATATTTGCGGATATATAAGATGATACGGATGACGGTTGCTTGAGAACTTTAATTTGTAAAGAACATACATTTGTGAATGTTTAGGTGCAATAAATCTCGCTAATGATGAAGGGAAAACTAAATGAAAGCTGCATGTCGAAGACTGTTAACAAACTTTGAAAAACGTGTGAAGTCCCAGTCCCGCATTGGGCTAGAGTGACAGATTATGACTTAAACGGATGCTGATAATCAATACCCACAAAAGCTCTTAAAAATACCAAACTGTTGCTTTTGTCGTCTCGTCTACATTTTGGAAACATAAATTAAGTGATCTGAAACCTCTAAATCATAGTTTCCCAAAGTGGTCCCTACAGTGGGCGCTGAAGAGCACTAGGGGTCTCGGAAGCAATTGGGGGCATTGATGCTGTCCAGGGGGTGCTACCGCATTTGAAAAAAGAACCTGAATTACCTATATAAACTACACTACAAATATATAATTTCTTTCCTTGTGATTTTTTGTGTTAAGTTAAGATAAAACATAGGTACATGTTTTCAATCATTTTTTGTGATGTTGTGCGTTGGATTTTTTTTCTCTTGCCCAAGTGGGCGGTGAGCCGAGAAGTTTGGGAACCTATGCTCTAAAAAATAATAAAAAAAATGTAAAACTACCTAAATCCATTAGCCACAATCACGAAAAAAACTTAAGGTGCCACTTTCTCGAAACTATGATTTGTTTGGTTGACACGTTATGGCTTATCAGCATCTTATACAATCCCTGTCAAATAATCTCAAGACCTACACCTAGCACAGGGATGTATAATGGGTAGACGATGAGATACCTTTTACTTGTTAGAGAAGGTACAGAAATATGTAACCATTTTTAACCGACTTCAAAAAAAGGAGGTGGTTCTTAATTCGACTGTATGTTTTTTTGTATGTATGTTACGCGATAACTTTGTGAACCGATTTTGTTGATTGTTTTTTTTGTTACAAAGAGAGTACCTCAGTAGTGTTCCCATTTAAATTTGAAGAAAATATTCCACCTCTAAGGGTGACAAACTAAGGGATGAATCCGGTTTCGCGCACTTTGGTAATCGATTTCAATAAAACTTGGCAAATAAATGTAATTCCACGCACTTTTGAGGTCGGTTTTTTTAGTACTCTGTACTGAGATTATGTTATTTTCAAGTGGACATAAATGGTGTTATATTAATTAATGATTACATCTGATGTGTGCTTATAGCCTATATAATTGTCGATCAGTTTTATTACTTCAATAATTAAAGTCAACTAAGTCAAGGGCTTGGGAGAAGTAAAAAAATATTCGAAGAATGAATACTGCATATTAGGAATAAGTAAATTCAAAGTTCAATATTAGAGTTAATAGAATTAAGACTTACCAATAAGGAATACTGATAGAGTCTGGGCGAATTGCCGGTATGAAGGACACAGTGGGTAGGGGCATACTTTTTGCCAGAGTGGTGGTTCCCACGAGGGAATTCCGGCGTCTTCTTGATGACAACTAGCACAACACGCGTACCACCAGGATCTGTTACGATATACTGACGAATTAGAAAATATCTTAGAAATAAAAACAATTTCTTGCATTTCATTTCATTTACCTTAACCTAAGAATTCAATATGAACAATAATACTCGTATAATTATGATAAAACGATTTCGAGTTATAACCTCACAAAAGTTCAGTCTTGGATATTAATTAAAGAGTAGATTTATTTTTACCTTTCGATGTGATCGCTCTGTTGTGAAAATGCTTTTTTGGAGTACACTGAGGATGTGGTGGAATATTTTTTAAACCTGCCTTCGATGTGTTGTCCTCGATCTGCGGAGCAAGCGTAAAAACGAACGTTACACAAGCTATGCGGTAGAAGAATGCTATTGAATATGAAATACAGTCAAAACTATCGACCTGGGGGAATATTCTTGACACTCAATTATATTGTATTCGAATTTCACATTCTACATTTGAATTGTGTTGTTTTATATTTTGAATACATACTACTGTGCTGTTTTTTGTTTTTATAATTTCTAATTTCATATTTTTAAATACGATGGAGTTTTTTTTGTTAAATTATGGCTAAATTAAGCGACTGCCTAAAATATCAAAACATATGACTACATAGGTTCAAAAATGTGTATAAACTGTTCGTACCTATTAAGGTACAGTTTTTATTATTATTATGCTTTGTAAAATAAGAATAAGCGATATAGTTATAATATCCTTGAATACAGCATTGTGGTCACGTGAGAAACAACATATGAATCTATATAACACCTGTCATGGTTCTGCCAACTCGAGGCGAATGAAATTAAATATGGATTTAGTTTAATTACTGGCAGTTTAATTGCACAGTATTAGTTATTGTACAAATGTGCTAGTATACACGTAGAAGTACAGTGAGAAAGGTCTACTATACTATACTGTGCAGGTATACGGAGTGGTTTTTTTTAATGTGGCTGTCTGGGGAAATACGAAACCATAGAAGATGCAAGGAAACTATCTTATTACCTTATAAACTATTTTAGAACCTTTAAGTCTTTTTTTGTGAAAACAAAAAAAAATTGATCAAATGAAATACAATTAAAAGATCCCTTCACGAAACTGAGTCAATTCGCACTAAAAAAAAATTTAATATTATTTTAATAGGACGAAAAAATCGGCACAGCAGAAGTTGGTCAAATTTAATAAATTAATTTAATATAATTAAATTTAATTTTTTTTATTAAATTTGACCCACTTCTGCTGTCCCAATTCTTTTCTTCCAATACAATAAAATCATTCTTATAAGAAAATGAGCCTATCAGCATTAAATAAAAATTAGTTAATTTTATTCATTTTGTATGAAAAATCCCTTTATTAAATTTGACCAATTTCTGCTGTCCCAATTTTTTATAAAATATCCTTATATAAGACTGAGTCGATCAACACTAAAAAAAATTGGATAAATTTTATTCATTTTATGGACAACTCACGCTTGACCAAGCAGTCTGTTATGCCACTTGCGAAAATTTTAGTAGCAATAGAGCCCATGGAGTATTAATATTAAACTTAGGACGGCTTCGTCCGATACCAGTTGACTGTCTTGGATTCGATAATGCGTTTCATAGCTGTAGAGCTCTTTGTGACAGACTTCGTCCAGGGAAGTACTGCCACCTTAACTATTTCTGCCGCCAAGCAGTAACGTGAGCATTACTGCGTTCAGGTTTTGAAGGGTAAGGGTGCTGGTGAAAGTACAGGCACATAGGACATGTCAACTTATGTCTCAGGGTGACGGGCGCAGAGGTGGTGCCCTTCAGATCTTTTCTTTCAGATTTAAAATTCTAAGTGGCACTGCAACTGTTATGAACAGGCGTGTCGCTTACCACCAGGCGCACGACTTGTTCGTCCCGTCACTTGGTATTATTAAAAAAAGATAAGAACGGTTCAAAGTAAAAAGAGTCAAACTTGACATGCTCTTGACTGTTATAAGTACTTTATTCTTGTTTTCAAGTTCAGTTTACGACTAACAATGTTGCACGGGAGGGTATTTTATATGGTTTGTATGTATATTTGTCTATCTATCTATCAGAGAGTGCACTAAAGTGCTCAAAAGTCGTTGTCGTCGTCAATATTCTTCCGTTCACACTATACTTTATGGCAGTTATTTAGAAAACAAAAATAGTCTAGTAACTCCGCTCTTCACTTGTTGTCCTTATGCTTTATCTGGACTTAGATTACTGTAAAGACATTAGCAAATGCAGTTTTCGTTTTGCTTCGCAGTCTACTTATTCGTGGCAGCGCTTGTACAACTTTGATAGGTTTTGTCTTGAAATCTTTATGAAATTTTCTCACTTTGCTTGTTTGTATTGATGTAAACTATCGATTTATGTAGGATCACTGCGTAGCTGCTATTTTAAAACCAAATCAAAATGGCGGACAGTCTGGAAGCCAAAATCTTTGCCCTATATTTTGTACTATTGACGTGCATGCTTAATTCTTTCTACAGAAAAAGTATGTATTTCACTGGTTGTTAAATTATGTCATTGTAAGATAAACGTTAGAATGAAACTACGACTACAATTTTTATTAGATATGCTTGACTGTCACACTGTTGAGTTGCATGGTATTTTTACCACACATTGTTAAAGTATTAAATGTAAAAAAAGTGTTTATTACACTTGGCTTTCTATTCTCAAATCATTGTTAAAAACATCTGAAATTTAAGAAAAGCACATCTTCTTCCAACCTTAGAATAATAACGCATAGAAACCTAGCCCGCACACGCTAAGTGAG